ACAATAACGTAATAATCTCGACGTTTAAACATACATTCTATATAAATATCACAAAAGTAAATTGTTCATTCATTTCATGGCTAATGAAGCAAAATTTAGAAATTTGGGCTTATAAATTTGTGAAGAAAATCGTCAGTCAAGGAATATATGAAATATATGGTATAAACTATAAATAGTAGTAAAAAATCGATAAACATTCGCCCTTGTAAAATGTTAATACAAACATCTTAGTGCTATCAGCGGTAATAAATAGAAATTTGCGGTAAAAAATAAGTATGTATATTAACACTGATGTCCCTAATGTTTACATTATTGACTTATCGTCGTTCGAAAATTTGAATATATAAATTACTCCGAGCGATAAACGCATCGTAATCATTGAATGGCGTGATGCGAGAAGCGTCTGAGGAAAAAATACCAAAACGATGCGCAACTAAATTTAATTCCTATTGTGAATGAGTTGTCGACTAATTGTCGGGGACTCGGTAATACGAGCTCCACTCATAAGTTGATGGGAAAAAATTAAGTAGGAAGATAGATGGTATTTATTATACTAGGCGGGAAACATTTCAACTTCGATGAAATTATATTTACATATATTCATATACACATCAATTAGTATGATAATTAAATCTGTTGTTATTTTTTCCCTTGAACTTGAAAAGCTTTCTCGTTATATTTATCTCTCGAATGATTAGCTCCTACTTACGAATTACGCTTAAGATTTTTCATGCCACAGCCATGTAACTTATTCAATTGGCCGATAATAAGCATAAACGAAGTTTTTATAATTAAGTTAGTTATAAACTTACGATTTTACATTGAAAGTCTCCGTATAAAACTTACAAAGATTCTAAAACATGAAATTTATCGAAAGCTCCCATCAAAACCGCGAGAATATATGGGGGTAAACAAGTAAACAAAATTAATTGCCGTGGTAGCGCACGGAGTTTACAGAGAGTTTACAAACGTCCGAGCAATGGAGAAAGAAACATTTATTAAAAATTTACCGCTTATAGTTAACGATATAAGATTCAAAGCACTCGTCAGTCGACCAACTTTAATTTATAATTAAATAAAGATCAGCGCTTATCTAAATTATTTATCAAAACTCCATCACTTTCTTTATGCCGTTAATAGAACTTAAAAATAAAAAAATAAAAAAACATACGGCTTGTGAACAAAAGGTTTTTATTGAATTGCGTGATAACCAATCAAATGGCGGGCACATTTCCGGTCTCCAAACTCCCGTATCTTTCTTCTACTCCTCTCTCTCTCTCTCTCTCTCTCTCTCTCTCTCATTGTCATCACTCTTTCGTTCGGAAGGACTCGCACCCAATACGCTCCGTCAGTTACAAAAAGATTCTCACAAGCATAAAGACCCCACTCGGCTTCCTCATCCACTCCAGATAAAGAGACGTGTTACATCCCAGGGAGAAGATTGCGAGGCAGCCTCCGACGCGCGCGCATGCCTCCCCGGAGATAAACGAAGGGGCGTCGAGTTTTTGGCATTGATCCTTTAGCGGAACGGGGCGCGAGATTCCTGGCGCACCTACGACCGAAAGCCGGTGGTGGGAGATGGAATGGGGGGAGGGGAGCGAGTAAACGGCGCGAAGACAGATCAGACGCGCAGGCCCGGGCGGTATATCATGGCGCACGCCTCTCCCGTTTGTCTGGTCGAGGAGGAGGTCCGTATTATTAGAAACGGCAGCGTGCATGCGCCCCTGGGATTTCGCCATCTCACCTCTCCCCTCCCTCTTCGCCGCCGCTGAGCAACCACCCGCCCCCTCGCGCAGTCACTCGCTTTTTTGGAAAGGCCGAGACACGAAGATTATCAGGGCTTGACGGCCGCGTTGCGAAAGAAGCCAAAAGAAAGACTACGGATTTATGCGATCGCCCGTTCTTTTTTTTTTTCTTCCTTCGCTCTCATTGCCAGCAAGTCCACCTACTTTCTTTTTCCAAGTGCCATTATGTTATTTCGCTGCGCACCCCTCTTCTATCCGTATAGTCCCGGCGACGTCATCCTATTCGAGATCTCATTTTCTGCGCTTATGGAGTTGCAGCTCTAAATAATTAGTGCCCACGTATGTTTGGAAAGTATTAAGGAACGCATTGCTGTTCCGTAAGGATCATTCGATAAATTCGATCGTCTCGATAATTCCCATTATGTTTTTCTCATAAATCTCGTTTTTTGATGCGAGTAGAACAACTGCACACTTTATCTCTCTCACTCTCACTCTCTCTCTCTCTCTCTCTCTCTCTCTCTCTCTCTCGTCCGTGTCCCATTAATGGCCTGAATGTTTGTCGACATTGTGTTCATTAGACCAACAACACAGCTTTGATGTTTGCGTATTGGTCGAATTGTAATGCGGTTGCTCGCACCATTGTGTTATAAGAATTACGGGGAGATAAGTGGAATGTTCGCGGAATTTTGGGTGTAGCGACGAGTGAAAAATCATTCGATGTCACGACATCGAATTTCCATGCTTACGTGGCTACTACTGATTAATCGCCCTGTATTTTTATTTATTTTAAAATAGACGAGTTACATGTTTTGTTTCGACGAAATTTGGGAGTTCGGCTCTCGAGGAGCGAGCGAGAATCGGTAGAACAGTGAATAATGGAAAATACTAGCATCTAACTGTGACGCAATAGCTAATAATCGATACATATAATTGCGCAATTTTTGAATTGACACGCGGTTGAGCATTAACCAAAACGTCAATTATTTTTAACGAATTGGAGCAGCACCGTATGTCCTTCGGAAGCCTGGTTTGTACTCCAAAGTATGTATGGCAATATCGATATTGTATATAGTTTTTGCTTACGATGAAAATTCAGAAAACTGCTATTTTATATTGACGGGATTTCGTTTAATTTATTATAACGAGAGACCGTAGAAAATTATGAAATTTAAAATGAGAAGCAATAAATAGTCAAATACTCGACATTTCCAAGATCTTTAGCGTTTTTAGTGTCTTAAAGTGTCTGGATTTACCTAGAAGTTTTATAATCCTGTGCATTCTTATTATATATTCTAAATTACACTTTTATCACAATATTGTTTATCAATATTTTTATCTTATCATAATTAAATTTTTAATATTTATTAATACAATATGGCTCATAATAGTACATTATTACAATTTATCTTTATCCTCAAATTTTAATGAAAATTAATACCCTTCTTAGCTGCATCGATCTTACCATTATAAATAAACAAATGACTTGCATGGTCGTAATAATCTACCTACTGATTCGCATGAAATGGAAATAATTTCCGACAATTACGTGAAATACTGTTAGTTTAAGTTGAATGAATTTAAGTCTATGTTAAGCTAGCAAGCCATTTGTAATTAATGATTTACTTTAATTATTAAGAAATACAAATTTTTATCAAATTAAATTATGCCTTTCTAAATAATGACAATAATTGACAATTTGTTGTTTTCTATTAGAAACTTGAAGCATAACATTTACAATTGCACTAATTACAGAAATTAACACAACTAACGATAAGCATTTCCGAATCTAATATCTAAATTCCTAATGAGAAATATATTCACTTAATACGATCAATATATATCAATCCCCCCCCCCCCCTCCCGCCCCTCCCCCGCCGCCAGAATATGGTTGATTAAAAATCCTAATCATTATATAATATCTTATTATAGTGTAAGATATTAAAATAGTAACTGCATACGAATTTTTTTTTTTCTCAAGTTATTAAAGAATTTTTTAATTATGCTTCTATCTACAACATTAATAACAGGCAAACGAAAAATCTAGCTTTAACGTATAATTACTTGATTGAAATACAAATGTTTATAATAATAAACGTTGAATCGAGCAAAAACAAAGATAATTTAATAATATACTTTTAACGCATTCGTGAATGAGTTTTATTTTTCATACGTTATAAAAGATACGGGGTACATTATTTTATTTATAAATTAAATTGAGATTTTAAACATAAAATTCTACGTGGACGGAAATCTAATAGCCCGAACTATTAAATAAACCAATCGATACACATGAAATATATATGAATCATGAATATCGCGCAGCTTTTGAATATGGTCCATTACGTGCATATAGTGTGCATACGTGCGTGCACGCGAGTTTCTTAATAACCTTTACATCAATTTATATTTTCATCATAAAATTTCTTAAATTGTAATTAATTTAAACAAAAATATGGACTACTGAATATTTCGGATATAAATGAGAGCCCGAGAATTGGATCATTTCTCAATATTTCGAGATTCCTGAACGAACAAGAATGTCATCTCTGTAATTTGAGATATTTTTTTAAAATCTATATTAAGAATAAAAAGTAGATGTAATGGAAATGACAAACAAAAATTTTAATAATGTTTTCAATATTATCTCTTATAAAAAAAATTAACTGCTTAAATGAAAAATATTTACACATACAATTGTAAAATATCACAGAGTATTGTTTTCTTCCCTTTTTTAATAATGATACAGAGTCATTCATAATTATTTACTATCACTTAATAATTATATTTTTTTAATTGAACTTGTACGAATATTAAGTATTTCGTTTTTTAATGACAGCATATGTATGTTTTAATGTTTATCATGTTACGTTTCAAATGATTTACGATTAATGTACTCGTAAAGCTCCATTTAAAATTTTATCTAATAAAGACACATTGACAAATTACGAATGTCTAATTGGGTGTAATTAACAATGAATAAAAATATAAAAAAAAACATTTGTCAAATGTTTTATCGAATTTTATCGAATCGATTTTAATATAAATACACGTATTTCAAATTGTCTCAAATGACTATAAAGAACGTCGCAAAGGATTATGAAGATCTATTAGAGTCGAAGCACATGTCTGAAATGTACAACTATCACGAAACTTTCAAGTCTGAACCTACAGGATTTACATAAGGATGTTGTTTGTTACTGTGCTTATTTATGAAAAGGAGTTTAAAATATTGACGTGATAAATATGATGAATTACCTTGATGCATTGGCGGCAGTGAGGACGTAGGCGTAAGTTGAAACGGCTCTTGCTTTATCTTCAAGGAATGAACTGAATCCTGGACGCTACCCAAACCAGAGCCACTGAGGCTTCCATTGCCCTGTTGGAGCTCCTAAAACAGAATTCGTGAATTATTATTTTAACATAAATTAGACCGAACTTCTTACATTCAGTATGTTCATGATAAATCATTAACGTAATGCAGAATTTCAATTTTCGTCCTCTAAATATTGCCACTCACGTTACTGTTACGTATATTTAAATAACGCTGTTTATATATACATTATCGAGCATTTACATTAATCACTAATCTATTCAATGCACAACCGATTATATATATATATATATATATATATATATATATATATATATATATATTACGTATTATCGATATTCAATTAATCAATAATTTTAAATGACGATCATTTCCTATAATATATACTTATTGGCTAATAAGTTTGATCAAATACATTTCACTATATTCCCATTGAACTACACTCAACACTCATCTCTCAATAATTAAAAACGCTAATCTTATTATAAGAAACTAACGTATTAAGTGTCAAGTTTAACAACATTTTCTCTATGGAATTTTAAATCTTAAAGCTTTGCTAACAAAACCGCAAAGTAAAATTTAGAAAGCGTTTTTAACATTATTGCATGAAAATGACGTTAAAATTTTTAATGTGGCTATTAAATATCATAGCAACACGAGCTTAAGAGATACATCAATAACAAAATTGATATACTGAATTTGTTCATAAATTTCAGAGAATTTTATGGCGTTTATAAAATGTCTTATTATTATAAGAAATTGATAAAATTATTATGAGTACACAAAATGAGAAATTCTCGAAAATAATTACACTACTATTCGCACTTCCTTTTATTAGCCTCAATATAAAAATAAATGTACCTCGGAAATTAAAATCTTAATTTTACGGTTGGACGTATTTTAAATTACCGTCGCACAATCAATTTTAACAAGGATGAAATATAAACATAAATTATCTAGTTCAAAGTCGCAATTGGTGGCACGATTGCGTGGGCAAATAAGAGGCTAACAACACGAAGTAAAAAAAAGGCACACCACAATATCTTCTATTATTATATTTCCAACAAGTACACGCAAAAATCGCCGGGTTTTGACAAATGCAACGCCTGTAAGAAATCTTAAAGGAAAGTCAGCAGCGACTCAGGCGCAGAGATTCCCTCGTGAAATGCGAATAATAGTGGAGTTCGTGAGAGGACCTTTGGCTCTTTGAGCTTGCAATGTTTGAAGTCTCGTCGCAGGAAGCTTACAAACACTGGCCGGCTGTTGTGACATCCGTATTATGCCAAGTGAAACTTACGATCTTGTTAGATCGTTAATTTGGAATTCGCTTTTCTCTCTCCCTCAAATCGCTAACATTTCTCCCTTGCGCTCTGCGCTACTTGATATCCGCCTTTTCCGCAAACTCGATTATATATCTCATGTTTTCTATTATTTCTCCCGACTTTAGCGACCTTTTCTTATTGCCCGATCCTTCTTATACTTATTACTTGGAGGGTTTATACGTTTTGTTTTGTTTTTTTTTACTTTTTTATTTATTTTTTTTTTTTTTTTTATTTCCCTTGCTTACTTATAAATTATATATATGAATGTGGCTGCGTGTGTGTGCGTTGCGTGCGCGCGCGCCCTCGCTCGTGCGCATTATTCTGTATATATGACTTACATATTTTAACGTAAAATTATCGATTAAAATTAGAATAGTTAGTACAGACAAAGAGTATCAAACGTTTTGAAAACATATAAATACATGTTTATATATGGTTATGCAACTTGTTTAGTAGAACTCTATGATCGTGTTATTATATAATGTCCATTATATCAAAGACTTTATAGAATTTACTATAAATTCGAATAAATCAAATATATACTTGTATTAATATAATGTAAAAATTTAAAAAAAAAAAAAAAAAAAAAAACAACTACAGAAATGCATAATTGCATCATTACTAATTATCAAACATTGTTCAAAATTATAAATTATCTATTGATACAAAAATAGCAGTTATGAATTTAAGGAAATTACTATGTTTCATTACTTTACCATAAAATGTTTAAACATTATCTAATAGTACGGCAAAGAAAATCGAGCACAGCATCTGTAATATTAAATATATAGAGCTTTTTTTATTTACAAGAAATGATCTTTCAATATTGAAATATCTTATTTTCATTTTGAAAGGCATCTTATAAAAATACATTCATAAAAACTTTCATTATAATAAATTAAATTAAAGAATTATTTTAACTTCATATGCTTCGTTTTATCAAACAAACTGTATATAATATAATAATAAAACTAATGATAATAACAATATTTCAGATAACACTAAAAATGTATTTAAATTTCATGATATTTTAACAAAATTGATAACAAAGTTTTGTTAAACCTTACGTAATATGTAGTAGTGTAGTAGTACTATCAGTTATCAAAATAATGAAATATTTTAAATTAATATTACAATGTTTTTTTCTGCAAAATTCCCATTATGTATTGGTTCTTTTATATCTGGAAACTATGATTTCAATTATAAATAAGCAATTTCAATTTTAATAAAAACAAATGTCCACGCTAATTTATCGATTTATTTATGCTATTTTCATAATGCCAACCAAATTTAGTCATTCAATTTCAGTTACGTTAATTCGTTAAATTAGAGTATGCCACAATAATGTTATAAATGCATTTAGGTTTAAAATATTAACTCAACGATAATAAAATTCATCAAATAAAAAAATGAAGTCTATGTTAATATTTGCCATTATAATACGTTTATTTAGAACTCGAAAATATTGGAGTTAGTTTGGAAAGAGATTTCAACTTTTAGTTGGGCATAATCAATGAATTTTACAAATCAAAGATAATAAAATTCTATAAATATTTAAGTACGTCAATTATCACGAATGAAATGTGTATTTATGGCTACTAGGCCATTGCTCCATGATTAGAATATTTATTTATCAAGCCCAGATTTTATTGCCTTCAAAAATAATTTGTAAACTTACTTAAAATTTTCGTTTATTCGTGTATTTATCCTCACTTAAATTCATCAAATACCAAGCACAGATAAACACGTACAAAATTATTCTCACGTACCCCTATTAACTAAATTATTAATAAACGCACGATAAAGTTTATCTACTAAATCAATAAGCCATTTTAACGTAATTTTTAAAATCTAATCAAATGTTATTTATAAAATATGAAATATAAAATTATTTTTACACTTAATCTTGTATGCGATAAAAACGCTTTAAAATAAAAAATAAAAGAAATCTTCAGAATTATTTGATATATATATATATATATATATAAAATAAAAGACATAGTTAAAACGAGAGTGGGAGCAAAAAATTTAGAAAATTAAGGCTCTCCTACTTAAATACAATAAACATGTCGAACTAGAATTCCCATCTCACTCTAATCTTATTTACGAACAAAAGTCATCGCGCGCGCGTTGGCCTTTAAATTCATCTTTATTGTAATTTTATTCGTGCGAGTAAAGTGCCAAAATGGCACGACGTATAAAGAAATAATTTTCCTAGCCTACTCCCGACTTTCAAGGTTATAAATATAAAAGAAAGAAGTAAGTAAAATCAAATAGAATCTCGCGAGGTTCGAAAGCCAACCTCGTTAACCTTATCCCGACTTTACAGCATCATTAAACGAGCGCGCCGGCAATATGCGTCGGCGTGCAAAGCTTCCATACAAATACAAATTTGAACGTTGTTCGCGCGCATGCTCCCGACACCCGACGCCCGACGCCCGACGCCCGATGCCGGGCACATGTGCGAAAGTTGGAGCGCACCACGAGATTTAGGGACGACGACACTGAGAAATTGCGCGACGCGACGCCGCCAACGGCCTCGTCGTTTTTCCGGACGACAGCCGGCAACTAGTAATGGCTCCACGCGGCTTTAAGCTCCCAGTGTCATCTAGACATCCTCATCATCATCTCCCTCTCTTTCTCACTTTCTCTCTTTCTCTCATTCTTTCCCTCCCTCTTTCACTGGCTCACTTTATCTCTTGCGTTAGATGAACGCCGAGCTTTCGAAGTGAGCGATTATTAGGAGCCGACGACTGGCCGTTAGCGATTTGTCGTTCTAGCGTCGCCAATGCTATATCGTGCGAACGAGATTCTGCAAACAATTGACGATGGATGAGGTAAAAGTCCGTTGGAACTGTGGGTATATTTTTAGATGAAGAAGAAGAATCAGGTAGAGAGTGAGAGGGCGAAATGGATCGCAGATTTCCGCAATGATGGATCGCCTCGAAGATGCGCATTGCGTGCACATTGCATGCACATTAGAGACAAGAGTCCGAGATAGATAGATAGATAGATAGATAGTTATATATATATATATATATATAGAGAGAGAGAGAGAGAGAGAGAATAATAATGCGTGTCTTATCATTCTTAGCGCATCACGTATTTATGATTCTTAATAGTATGCAAAGTTTTTAAATTTAATGAAACTCTCGTGACTGCATTTTTTACAAAATGCGCCGTATTTTTCATTAACGATATTTATAACTTTATTGCGGATTGGGCGCAAAACAATAGGTAAAATTTATGACTTTTATGGCAGTATATTATATTTTTAGTCTCCTATTAGTCGATAATAGTACTAGAAAATATATAAATAAAAGACATTAATGGCTTTTGAATACCTTTTTCTCATATTTAAATACACTGGATAAATTTTGCATAAAGTAGATTTTTTAGACAACAATTCAAATAAAAGCAATTTCTTATTCATTTTTAAATGTAATTCTAACATAATTATAAATAAATTATTACGTTGGGATTAGTTGAGGTCCTACTTTTCTATAAATATGCATGAAATCTTGCACAGTAGACTATAAAAATTTATAATTATATTTGTAGAATATAAAAATTTTATTTCGATAAAGTGGCTATTACTTTTTTTTATTTTACTTTTATATTTCATAAATAATACAAAAGTTCCATATCATTGTCTATTAAAGGCATATTTTATGTATATTGTAAATAAAATGTTAAATTAAAAACTAACGATCAATTAAATTTTATAATTTTGAATTTTCAATTTTAAAACAGTTAAATTTTATACTGTTTTATTTTATATAGTTCCACAACTATAATTGTTTAG